TTTTTTTTTTTTTTTTGAATCTTGAATCTAATACGTTTTTGCGTTTATCTTCTCTGTTTGGTGACAAGTGAGGACTTTTTTGTGAGTCATCCAAGTTTTTTTGCGTGAGTCTTAGACCGGTTTTTTGAGTTCCTTTGTACATTTAGTTTGTCCATTGCTTTATGGAAGGCGCTGGTAAGGTAGCTCATAGAGCGCGTTATCTTATCGCGCCAATTCTATTAGGAGGTGAATGATATCTTCTGTTGAAACTGCAGACTTACAAATTTTTTGAAGAGTAAATATGATTTGAAACTGTTTTGTAACTGTCAAATTGTTTCTTTCATGTCATCCAGTTCTTTATATAGCCCGGAAGGACGTTATGCATTGCTGCTAGTTTTTTTGGGGCATTACATTAGTTTCACGTAAAAATATTAAATTAAGTTTTCTATCAGTGGTTAAGTAGAAGTTAGAAATGTATTCTTCGTTAGAATTACGTTCGCTATGCTCCACTAGTTGTTCCCAACGAGTTACAGTGGTGCTTTTAAGGCCGCTGATTATCTTTAAAAAACTTATTTTTGCGCTTTAATTGTTGCAATTACCAGTCAAATGTTTTCTTTTAGACTGTCCGAAAAAGCCATCGGAATGTTCTGGCGCAAGGAAGCGTTTTAAAAGCTTTGAGGAAGAGAAATAAAGGAAGGAGGGATAGTTTCAAGTCATCAGATTTCTGGGTGCTGTCAGATTCACATTTAACAGTTAATTACCGAAATGGATCGTTTTCTCACTGCTGACATTAATTTTTTTTCTGATGCGTTTTCGGTGAGATTGGATCGTTTCGATGCATCGGTTTGTGCCACTAAAAACAGTTTTGGCAACCTTGGCTAGTTGAACGGTAGTTCTACTTTGAACTAATATAGTTGGCTCGTCCGTTGAGCGTCGTAATGACTGTAGACTGAATCCGAAAGAAACATCTTGAACTGACAAAGTGTTATTTAGAACTACTTCAGGTGCTCGCGCAGAAAGAGATCAGCATGAGAAACTGACATGTAACTTAGAAAAACGATCTGTGACCCGTAGTAGGATTAGCATAGTTCAATTGCTCGTTTTTAGAGCGCTCTAATGCCCATAAGGTCTTCAAAGAATGAAAGCCATAAGTATACGGAGGCTGTTACAGAACCACGTCCGTATTAAAGTTCATGTTTGAAGAGTTCCAATTGTTCGATGAAGCATTTAGTTTGTGCTGATTTAGGTCTTCAGCGATAGGCTGCAAACGAAGTACTTCATACAGACGTTTTCATTCTCGAATTCACACAGCCGTCCTCCACAGCGGAAAAAGCGTGGTTTGATCGGTTTCCAACGCCTCTGCATCTTTTTTTGACAGAGATTTATTACGACCAAGTTTTCCTGTGGATTTTTTTTTTCAACTTCCATCTGACACGTTTCTTACGCCTTGTTGTATTTCGTGATGGATAGGCGGGCTTCTATGAGTTTTTAACGTAGTTGTTTAGGTTTTCTGTATGACTTTTTGACTGAATTTAGAGACTTTCTCATGCATTCGATCTGTCAGTTTTCAAATGCAGTCTTATCTGTTGACCACTTCAAGAATTGATAAGAGTAAGAAAAGAATTAGTTTAAGTTGTCTTATATTATTTAATGGTGGGATGCATTTTTTTGACTGGAACAAGAGGTTGAAGCTAGCGACTTGTAACTTTTTAAAACCAATTGTGGTGCTTGATTTTTGCTTTTTCAGAGCCGCTTCTCCTTTTTAGTCAGGATATCCTCTGGATAGCTCAGAAAATGCGGTACATATTTTTAACTTCAAGATTCAACCTTAGTTTCAAAAATACTAATTTTTTTGCTGTTGGTGAGATAGGAATAATGTGTAGTTGTGTTTGCGCTAGCGTATTTTAATTAGATGGGGCTTGCTTCATGCTTAAGTTGTAACTTCGATAGCCATATTTTGCTCTTTGCCTTGTTAGCTGAAGTAATTTTCTTTTAATTATTGTACAGTAATATAGATACAGCTGCAACTTGTTGGAACCTGCAATTGCAGTACAATTAATTTATTACTACTAATGTTATTAATGAAAATAGTTTATATAGGGGAATTCATTTCTAATTTGGTGTAAAATTTTTTGGGAGCGAGAATCCTATATTTTGGAGAAGTTACAGCGGCTTTGGCACAGTACCACTGTGTGTTGCGGAAACAACCGGAGTGAAC